CTGTGAGAGTTTATACAGCAAGGGAATAGGAAGCTTGAACAATCTTGCTTGCCACTTCTGTTACACTGACCTACTTCTCAACTGGTGTTTAGCTTTTCAAACGCCAAAATGCTTCTAAGTTAGTGGCTTATTTTGATTTGCAGTGTGGTAAAGAAAGAGTTGGAGCACATGATCTTCAAACCACAGACAAGTATTTGAAAGCTCCTTCTGAAATCTACCCTTTTTTGAGGCCCCATCAGTCTGACCAATCCTTTTCCAACTGCAGAGCTGGATGCTGCTCCATCAGGAGCCAGCAAAAGCTTCTCTGGAGGAGCCACAAGGGGCTATCCAAGAGCAGTGCACAGTGTTCTGAACTCCCATGCTGAGTTCTGCTCCTAGGCAGCATGCTGCCACTTAGCTGCCGAGCTGGTGGGGTGGGTGGCAGCAAAATCACTATTTCCATAGTGCTCCGTCAACTCTGACTGAGGAAACAGGACAGCAGCACAGCACTGTGTCTGGGCAAATTCGTTTCAGTAGTGCTTATGGAAGGCATTGGCCTAAAGAATGCATCCTTGGAACATCAGCACAGCCCGCTCCAAACATGAAGCGTGCTGGGCCAGCCTTCCCGCATATTGTCATAGTGTTATTCATAGCTCAGCTGGCCCCAGCTGCTTAAATTCCCACTACTGTGGGTATCAACAGTTACCTCTAGCTGGACTGAGTGAAGTCTAAAAACCCAATTGGTCTATCAGGTGCTTTTACTGACCATTGAGAAAAGAAAGCTAAAGTACCACCAGCAGCTGCAAGCTCAGGGGTGGTCTCTCACCAAATTCACTGTTGTCATCCACCAGGATAATTTCATGAAGAAGATATGATGGAGTGCGATCCAGGACGCTGTGTATTGTCCGAAGCAAGGCAGAAAGGGCTTCATTGTAGAAACAGATAACAACACTAGCAGAAGGTAGATCAGAACGGTAAGACTTTTCTTTACATCTGCAAATAAAAATGATGTAGTATTTGTTACTCATTAAGTCTTGTTCTCACCACAGCTTTGCACAGGGCTGGTGGAGCCTTACTAAGCTTCATAAATAACAGTGCTAATATTGAATTAGAAGCTGGTCCTATGCATTAAGTGAAATACTAAAACATGCCCATAATTACGTAACAGCATTAACCTAATTACATCAAGGCTCAAAATAGTACACAGCATGCTCATACCTACAGCTCATGCAGTTCAGAACCTCAGATAGGGCTTGCTGCTACCTGGTGGAAAATGCATTATAAGCTGCTGTGAGGGCACACAACCCTATGGGTCAGCTTCCAAAGACGCTGCAGTCAAAGATAGCACTGACAGTCTTACAGCAAGAACGTGACTACTTCTATTTGCCCATTTCAATTCTGCTCCTAGGACAGGATCACAACTGACATTTGTAGTAAGGTGCCAGAAGTGAGGGACCCAATGACATTAAAATCTAAGAGTATAATGCATCAAAAGGTCTTTTCACATCAGATCAAATCAAGTCAGCTGCTGGGAAATATCTGCACTCAGGCAAGGATGATCTATTACCTTAACCAATAATACAGCCACCATAACAGAAACAAGTCACAGATTTCTCTTTTTAGTATAGTGGTTTTCTTTCTTTCTTTCTTTCTGTGGGGGGGGGTGTGGTTGTTATAGTGACTGTTTCATTGTGTAACGGACTCTAGAAAATACATTCTAGATATAAGTGCAACATTTTCAGAAAGGGACACACAAGAAGCCCACTTTTCTGCCAGTTACCTATCCCCATCCTTAAGCCTCTGATTTTCAGAGGAACTAGGCGCAATTCAAAGCATCTTCAACATGAATCGGGGTTTGCTTTTAGATTTCTTTTTAAAATACATTTTAGCTTGGGTCTCCCATATGGCTGCTTGCATTTAATTTGAACAGGATATATAGTGCAATATATTCTAATCTAAGCCATCCTTTGCTTAAGATCTGAAGGCTGAAACATTTTTTGCTTTAGTCCTTTAGTTTGTTCAGCTGTCATTAGCTTGTATGAATTCTACTGTACATATATATATGCTTTTGAAAGTATACTGTGATACAAAGAGGCTTCTGTGGGCTGATCTATGTAGACACAAAGTTTCTGGAACTGATCTCAAAGAATCACACACACAAACTGCCTTAAGGTGGTATCAGACTCTCTCACGTGACTTCATCTGTTAGGATTTTCCAATCATCATCCCCTTCAGCTTGCCTTCTGAGATGCAATTTTGAACACTATTAAAATAAAACTACCCTAGGATTTAAAAGCATCACCTCAAGCCATCCAGCTGCAAGTATTAAAGGATAAAAATGTTGCCTTCAGTGGTACCTGATATGTTGAAAAACATTATCTATCAGATGCACAGCTGCCAAATATTTAAACAACAACCTCATGATTTAGCATACTGTTGTGCTTTCAATGCCTCAGATGTATAGGGAACATGGTATAAAGAACATACTTTGTATCCCTGGTGTCTGGCACATCTCTGTGGTATCCCAGCCGGTTACTGATCAGCACATTGAAGGCATGTTTCTGATAGCCCAAGTCTCTCACCTCCTGATCATGCTCATTAAAAATCATGCCTGAAACAGAAACATGCCAAAATCAGTTCAAAGGAGCAAAAAATGGCCTTTAGCAATGATGAAGTACTGAAATGGAACATTTAATTCATACCATAGTCTAGTATTCACCATGTTTCTACAAATTATTCTTTTTAACCTGTTTTAAAAGCACATTTGTTTCAATATTGTGTCTACTTCATGTTGGGGAGGAGGGAGGAGCAGAAAAAACGAACAGCCATGCCTGGGATAAGAAAGAGAGATTAACTGGGGAGTGTAACATGTACCCAAGCTGGTGGCTTTGTTGTCCTTATTTCTTTCCCCTCCAAGTTCCCTTCCCCCTTTCAACTCAGGACAAAAAATGGGTGTCAAGCAACTAGGGGTCCAGGTCTAGCCCACTTGACATAGTAAGTCAGTACCTACAGCAAACTGAGGTTTGACACAGCATGTATTTCCACAGCAATAAAGTATGCGCAGAAAAAACATTCCAAACAAGGTGTCAATGGCTCAGCCTTCCTTGAGCATCCGAAGAGCAAACCAGCAGCTATGAAAGCAGCAGCTGCTCCTAACAATCACACCTGGGCTGTTAACACCAAGTTCATTAGCAACTGAGCTAGCTATTTTGTTCTGCAAATTAATTCATAGCACAATCAGCCACTGTTGTGTGCAATAGAGGGAACCACTGCCAGTTTCAGTAAATGCTCTACTAGAAGCAAAGGTGAAGCCCTAAATACCAACCTTTTTGCCCTGGCTTTTCCCTAAGCCACAGTCTGGGCTTTCCTGTCCCCTTCTTGGAAGAGGTAGTTATAAAGAACAACAAAAAGATCCACTTTCCTTAATTTCTTGGGGGGGTTGAAAATTACAGCAAGGGACACTCCATCTTCCCCCTTGATTCTTTGTAGGCAGCTGAATTTAATACCTCTCCTCACAGTAGCATCCAGCAAAACAACTGAAATGCTCCTGCTCTTGTCCCAAGTCCTGCCAAAGCCACAGATACAATTTCATTGAGTCCTTGGTGGAAAGCTTCAAACTAAAAGATTCAGTCGGGTATTTTTTCCCCCATAGCATCATGTAAAAAGTTTAGGGTCTAAAAAAGCTTAAATTCAGTTGCTGCAAAACATCTGAGATTATCCTGCTTCAGAGAAATATGCAATAGCCAGGCAAGTTAAAGCACTTTGCAGCCTCTGCACCACGACTTAATTCAGGACTTAATCAGGTGGACTTAATTCAGAAGGAAAAGTGCTAAACAGGTAGAGAAATGCAAACTAAATACCATATTTATGTGAGTCTAAGACCAGGTTTCCTCCCCCCAAGTCAACATAGAGGGGGAAAAGCCCCTCTGCTTAGAATCAAGTATGAGCGTTGGAAGAGGAGGGTCAGGCAGCTGCTCTGGCTTGGAGTTGGGGTCATAGCTGCAGCCTGCCCAGCCCCCAACACCTCTGCACCCCACCAACTTCCCCCATGCAGCATCTGCTCCTCTGCCTGGCTCTCTCCCTCCCCTCCTACTCTTGCTGTGCACCAGCAGGCTCCATCCATGCAGCAGCCTGGGTCACAAAGCACAGTACCAACCCAGCCCTGTAGCAGCAGCATCCAGCCTGCACGGCTGCTACAGGGGCTGAGCATGGCTGCAGCCCCATGCCCCAGGCTAGAACAGGGATGGAGCCTGCTTGCAGGGAGCACGGAAAAGTAGGGAGAGGGAGCAGAGAACAGAGAAGAGAAGGGGGATGTACAGGCAAGAGGGGGAGCAGAGGCTGGGGGAGCCCAAGGCTGTCAGGGGGAAGAGGTGAAGGGGGCTGGAAGACAGGCACAAGCAGGGGGAAAGCTGATTGACCTCCCCACACCACTTGCCCTCCCACTGCAGCAGTGGGGGGTATGAATTAAAGACAAACTGTCAATAATTAGATTCTATACATGGAAAATTATAACAAATTTATAAATTTTCCATGTATAGAATCTAATTACCAAGGGTCATCTTAAATTCAGGGCTGTCTTGGATTCAAATAAATACAGTAAGTGTTTTGGGAAGGTGCAGACTACAAAGTAGGCCCTTATCTCCCTTCAGGGCTCAGGGGTGCCAAGGTAACTCAAGTTACTATCCTGGGATTTACAAACAGGAGGAACTCACCCTCAGAACAGCTAGTTCAAACCCAGATGTCATAGGGCTAACAGAGATGTGGTGGGACTCGTCTCATGACTGGGCAGTTAACATTAGGGGCTATAGGCTGTACAGGCGTGATAGAGAAGGTAGGAAAGG